GGAAAAGATTTCCGAACCCGGCACACCGCATCCAGTATACCACTTGCTTTGGCTGCGGCTCCTAGACCACGTGCCGACGACTAGTCACGCGTTTTCCAGCGATCCAGAAATAGTTTCAGTGAGGAATTTGTCTCTGCCTGCATAGGAAATGTGGTGGAAGTATCCTTGTTATTATTACTCTACGTGTTTACCCAGGAGGGTTCTGCCAAGTTTCTGCAGTAGGGGGTTTCTGGTTATTATGTAGATTTCATTAGAGTAATTTGCAGCAACTTTTTCAAATTTGAACCATAATATTAGCACACAATGGCCCACTCTTGCGGATAACATTAAGGGATCGTCAACATTCACTGTGAAGCGTATGTTTCGGATTAATACACTCGCAGTGTTATCCGGGACGGCCGCTAGATTCTAACCACGAAAATCTACGGCAATAATGACGCCACGAATGATCGGGATGGACTTTAATGCCACGACGATGATCATTACAATGATGGATGACGGAGTGGAGGATGACGCTAGCTCACAGTGATGCAAACTTCAAGTGCACTTTGGTGTTGACGCCTTTGAGATTTGAGCCCGGGGTGAAGACGGGCGATTTGCATGCGGGTGAGGCCGCAGACTCTGATGAGACGTGATCCGATGGTGCCCTCTTTGCCGTTACGTGTGGTGCTGCGTGACATTGTGGTTGAACTCCTCTACAGAGCCATTGAGCTTCTGTTCAGCTCCCTGTAATGCGTAACGATGAGCTGCTGCCACCACTCCACCACTTTGTGGTCTCGTCACTGATTCAGTTCGTCGGCGCTTACAAATGATCTCCGCCTCGTGTTATGTGCAGAATATAGGTCGTCACACGTTTGGCTCTCATCTGCATTTGTCATCTGGCCAGAAAAATAATGATCCTTTGTCAATCCACTGCTGGATAAGGGCCTCCCCACACCTAGCGGGTCGTGGGGGTTGTTTGACCATACTTCACCACGCTGGTCAGTGCGGGGCTTTGGTGACGAGGTGGCGCATAGACGTGGGAGCGTAGCCTACAAATAATCGTAGAGCATAATAATCTTTAACCATAATAATCATGATCTTAGAGCCGGGCATTCAAGGCCGCACAGTGTGAGCAGCGATGGGAAAGGGATCACGGTGCATTCATCTTGACAATCCCCACGACTACAGCACCTGCAATGCAGCCCATCGCGTCTGAGCTCGGAAGCGAAGCAGCCTCAAGCCGGTAGAGCGCTTGGATGGGCTCTTGTGGCTACTTGTTGCGCTGCACTTCAACGCTCCCCACATCTATGCTCTGGGCCTGCACGAAAAATCACCCTGTGACCAGTGTGGTGATGTTAATGGTAAAACCCACGGCATGGGGAGGCCCTTATCCAGCAGTGGATTGGCAAAAGGTTTGCACGCACGCGTATGATTATGTACGATATGAGCGTGCAGTGACACAAATATAAAGATCCCCCGTATAGCCTTGACAGACTGTAGGGGCAAGTGCTGTTAGCGAGCACCTATAAAGGCCGGCACGGCACACGAGAGGGTGGGCGGCCAGCACCACGACCGACCGCCTTTGTCTCTCCAGTAACGATGTTTACACTGCACCAGTTACTCATTTGAGACTGAGTCGACCTATGAGAGGCCCAAGACCATTTCAGATAATCGTCACCGGTGTTGGTCGTGAGCGGGAACCGAACTGGGGTTGCCAGGTTCATAGCGTAGCACGCTAACCCCTACACCACCGCTCCCCGCAGTGAAACACACACAGTGACAAGCGCGTAGTGACACAACAACCGCCATTCGCGACTAAGTGGTGGTGACGTCACCACGACGCTTGTGCCAGGCCATGTGCGCCTTGAGGCCACGTGAAGTGTCGAACGCCCGCTGGCAGGAGGTCACGGGGCAGACCCAGGTGCCACGGGTCGACTGACTGAGATGACTGGCTGATGCACCACCTGTGCCCCCTACTGTGCCAACCTGCTGTGCTTTAGCCACCCGGCGCTCCGCTCGTTGTTGTGAGCGTCGCTCCTCCGCCCTCCGTTGTTGTTGGAGGGCGACTGCCTCCAACTGCCCAGTAGCGTCCTTCACGAGCCTCCTCCACAGAGGCCGATCTTGACACCGCTGGTACCAGTCATCGGCAAGTCCTCCTGTACCACATCACTCCATCTCTTCTATAGCCCGTGCCGCGCCCGTTTAGCCCCCTCGATCCGGCCAAACAAAAGCTGTTTCGGCATGCGGTGGCTGGGCATGCGGGCTACATGACCCAGCCAACGCAGCCTTGCCTGCCGGAGGAGCTCACCGATGGCACCTTGCCCAGATCTTTCAAGGATTTGTGAGCTCCTCACACAATCCAGCCTGGTTAAGCCCAGGATGGATCGTAGGCTGGCTAGCCTAAATATTTCTAACCGGCGAAGATGTTCCATTAAGGGGGTCCACGTTTCGCAAGCGTAGAGAAGGGAGGGAATGACCGTGGCCGAGAAGACCTGAAGCTTAGTGCGGAGCGACAGACCAGGTAGCTTCCACACAGCGTTACGCAACCGATGAAAAGATATTGCCGCTCGACTGATTCGGAGTGAGACCTCTGCTGTTAAACTGCAGTGACACACGCAGTGACACACACGCACACACACACACCTGTAGTCCTTAACGCTGTGCCGTGCCTCTCCTCTTTTGCAGGGTTCAATGTCTTGCTGAACATCATGGTGAGTGTTCTCTTGGTGATTCATTCGCTTCGCGTTATCCAGCGGGGACATCGCCACTGACACCGCGTTGACGAAAGGCGGCGGCTGAAAGTGCGCGCTCCTTGCCAGAGGCGGATTCAGAAGCTCCCGGTATCGGTGTGCGAGCGCAGTTCGGATTGTGCCGACGAGGAGACATCCCGAGGAATGGGCAGAAGTTCCTCTACTGCTTCGGCGGCGTCATCACGCTCCAGTCGATCCTGGCGGACATCGCGGCGATGTCGAACTGCATCTGAAGAGACGCGGCTGCCGTCCACTCCGTCGTGGGGAGAGAGATCCGCTCGTTTATCCTGGCGGATGTGTGGGCCAACCCGGCCTTTATTTCTCACTGAATCGTTGCTCTAACACGCGGTGTGCCTGCGCAGCTAATATTCACATTCATAATAGAGTAGACGTTTGGGTTAGGCCACGCAATGATGTGGCCAATTTTTTATCGTTCGTGTAACCCTCCACCACCCGACACGGCCAAACAAATTAAATTGTCCCGTGGTTAGATCATTATGTGGCCGAACCAAAACCATCTCTCGTCAGTCTGAATGTTTTCCGGATCGTTGGTAGAGTAATAGCCACAGCTCCTGCAAGTAATACTGGATGCAGTGTGCTGGCTGAAGTCAAGCCCCTGGTTATAACTGTGCCCTTGTCAGAACGCAATACGATTGACAGTGCATCGTGTGCGTGTGTGTGTATATAGCATCTCAAGATGCTGAGACGTGCAGGCCTTGCTCCAGCAGAGCTGTTGTGTGGGGCCATCCCAGCACCTACCTAGTGCTGGTCTGCAGACGCAGTTCATAGAGAGAGGCTGTCGGTCATAGGCAAAGGATAATAGAAAGGTCTCGAGTCTTGAACAGAGGCAGAGACCCAACAGTATTTGATGGCTGGGACAAGGGAGTTCCAGACGAGCGGGGCAGCAGCAGAGAAGGAGCATCACGGGTGCACACGTTCAGAGGATTGTACGAACATGGACTTGTTTTCCACACTTGTGTTGTCGGTCACACACTAACTGGGTCCTCATCGTAAAGCGATGGGTAATATCGGGCTGCACGTTTGTGCGCCCGTGTGTTTTGTCTTGCCTGGCGTTTCAGCTTTTATTGTGAAGGGCAACAGCAACAAGCTTCTGACATACGCTGGGCTAAATGGAACATGTAAACCTCGCACGAGCTCACGGTTCCTAGATGGATGCAGCACTCATTGCGAGCGATGGTTTTTTGTGATATTTCAACCGACCGGACGGCAAGGCAAGATAGTTTTTTGTATTCACTGGCAGCCCGGCGCAATGGAGACTCGTGCTGATGATGTGGGGTGCCCGTGGTTTAAGGCGGGCACGGGATGCCTGCTCCTGTATTGTATGGCCGGGCATTAAATTCTTGGTGTTTTCCACATCGTCAAGCGAATTAATCTCAGTTGATCGACGCGTTTACGGATTATAACACACACTTCCCACGCCCCCCCCTCCCCCTGTAATGAAAGCAAAATGTTGGGGGGTTCGTCTTATAATCAGGAGATTAATTGTACTCGGATGTCTTACCCAAACACGTGAACACGGCGACCACTACTCCACTCACCAACACCCCCCCCCCCCCCCAGCACACCTCCCACCTGAGAAGGACCGTGCAGGCTGCGTCATAGACACCGTGCAGGAGAAATTTCGTCCGTGCGCAACGAACATCAGTCAGCAGCGACGCTGCAGCGGCAAACACAAAACAGACACGCCACAAACCGCGTGTTCCAGTTTTCATGTATTAGGTGTCACCCTGTGAGCCATGCGGCTCTTGACTCGGGTGCAACCGCAACAAAACAAAAACATGAACAAGAAACATCTTAAAGTGACTACGCGCAACAGAGAAATCCTGGAGAAAACAGCAAAAGTCTTCCAGACTTTTACTGTTAGTGATCTGGAGAGGGAAGAGTGGAGTGGGGGAATCAGTCATCCCAGGGGCGGTCATCTCAGTCAGCCAACCCATCCCGAGGCCCTCCTCCTGTCAGCGAGCCTTCGGACACTCCACGTGGTAGCCTCAAAGTGCACCTGGCCTGGCACAGGCGCCGTTGTGACGTCACCGTCACTGAGTGGCGGTGATTGGTCTAGGGGAGAGGGGGGTGTGTGCGTGAGAGGGGGGGTGTGATTAGTTGGTCTCGTCCGGGGAGGTGGTGGGGGAGGGACTCAGACAGAGCAGCGACGCTGATCCACCCCCCTGCCGCCCGACCACGTGGAGGAGTCCACCTCCCCAGCGGCTCTTTAAGTGCTCCGTCTTGCCCACCCCGCTGCCGAGTTGGGCATCAAAAGCCGCCGCCTCCTCCTCCGTCGCGTCACTGCTGCTGCCAACCACGTTCCGGGGCCCCCCCCTCCACCACCACCACCTCTTCCACGGCTCCTTCTCGCCTACGCCTCGTCCACCAACCTCCTCCTACCCCCGTCCCCACCCCTCTCACCCCGCCCGACCCCAGCTATGGACAGCATCGCCCGCCTCGTCAAGACGCAGCTGCCCGCCTACCTCAAGAGCCTCCCCGTGCCCTCCAGCCTCGCGGGCTACGCGCGGCTCACCGGTGAGGCGGGCGCCATGGCGGGGGGAGGGCCCCACGGAGGGCCTCACGGAGGGCCGCAGGGCACAGCGCGGGGCCTCTCCTCCTCACCTCCTGAGCGTGGCGCTCACGGGGGCGAGAGGGTGGCGAGTGTTTCCCCTTCGTCGTTGATGGTCATTAGGGCATGGTCTATCCACAGCTGGATGAAGGCCGCCTGGCTGACTTCGCGGGCCTGCGCAGAGGCCTCTCTCCCTGGCAGTGGGGCTCGATGCTGCCCCGCGACGTGCGGGTTAATGAGTCCCAACCATTCGTTCGTGGCAGCGACTACGAGGTTTTAAATTGTGTCCCACTTAAAGCGGGGTTGTTATTTTCCGTGTGTCTCCCTCCCCTCCCCCCCCGATTGTGCTTTTTGATGCGATGACTGAGAATGATTTCGAGCGAGGTTCTGGTCCCCACGCTAAGTAGACGGCGGGCAGGACGGGGACATTCCCGCACGCTCCTCTTGAATTACGGACCGTCCCTTGGCGTTACACTCTTTAGAGCTGCAACTGAAACCAAATCGAGTTCGGTTCGGCACCAACTTGTGCCGGTGTCGCGGTGTTTGTGCAAGTCATTTGATGAGCTTGCTCAAACCATCATCACTCGCTACGCCTTATAACCGCTTTGCCGTTACTTACTGCCAATTATGGCCTCGGACTATTGTCCTGTCATCTCATAGAGTCCCTGGCACACAGTAATATGCTACACCGTGGCAGTGGGGGTCGCGAAATGCCGATGTATTACTCCGTGAACCCGGTTTGATCACTGCCCGCTGAACTCCACAGGCTGTGTGTGTACCTTAACGTGGTGGCACCTAGAGCCGTTTACGCAATAAGCCCTCTGCCTCTAGTTGCACGTAGACCCCTCCTAAGGACAATATCATGCTCGGGGAAGTTAATTCAGGTATTTAGTGGAACCGGCCAACTTAATTAATCTGCGAAAAAGAATCCACGTTTATCAAATACAATCCCAACTTTTGGCTCTGTTGTTTGCAGGCTACCTCACCGTGTCTGTCAGGTCCATACGGCGTACAGCCGTCTCAAATACGGGCAAACAAAAATGGTCTGTTTGTGCTTCTCCCTTGTGATGGAGCTTTATAGGATGAACTTTGAGATTTATAAGGGCACTGGGTGACCAACGAGGTCTGAATTGGTCTGTAGTAAGGTAGGGCACTGATAAACACTGGCGGAGCCAGTGGGGGTGGGGTGGCACGTGCCCCCCAATGATCCGATCGAAATTAGGGATTTCGATCGGATCATTGGGGTTTATTAGTAATAAATCGGCATTTTGCGACCCCCACTGCCACTGTGTAGCATATTATTACGTGCCAGGGACTCTATGAGATAATAGGACAATAGTCTGAGTCCTAATTGGCAATAAGTAACGACAAAGCAGTTATAAGTGACTCAGAATTGTGCGCAGTTGCGTATACAGTCCACGACTTCCCTTAAGGCATCAACACCTTAAGCGAGCACGATGCCGATCACACAACGCGGTTCGAACTCGACCCTCGATCGATGGCTGCGCAATCGCCGCACACGCGGCGAGTAACAAGCAAGGGACAAGTCCTTACTTACTAACAACTCCTTACTTACTAACAACTCCTTACTTACTAACAACTCCTTACTTACTAACAACTCCTTACTCACTAACTCCTTACTAACTAACAACTCCTTACTTACTAACAACTCCTTACTTACTAGCAACTCCTTACTTACTAAGTCCTTACTAACAACTCCTTACTTACTAACAACTTCTCTATCTCATCATTAGACCTCCTTTGCCAGTACTAAAATGTAATAATAGGGTTTTTTTCTGGCAACAAAACTGAAACCTTTTTTTAACAAGGATTAATGTCTGCATTAACCACAATACCTGCAGCCAAAATGCAAACAAAAAACACACTATGATAATATATGTGGCATTGTCCTTGAAACTGATTGGTCCACACCAAGGGACGGCTTTCTTTTAAGCCTCGACCCAATTGGTGCTCGACCACATGACGCCAAAAGGCCTACAGCTGGAGGGATTGCCCCCCTACCTGGAAATCCTGGCTCTGCCATTGCTGACAGAGGGGTTGACAGGTTATGCCTCTAACACACGTTTTAAAAAAAAAACACCTTTTGATTATAAAAAAAACAAACTACTTTGACGTTACAATTGAGTTGATGCCACTGTTTATGTGAACACGCACGCGATGGACATGGCGTTGATGTGTATGGAGCGTTGTCACGATGGCACGGCCGCCTCCTGTCACTTGAAACGCCTCTGTCGAAGAGGGGAAATCACTCGATCGAGGTCGCGTTACGCAACTTGCCACGTCCTCATGTTGCACTCAACACTCAACACCTCGAGTGATGAAGACGTTTGTCGGTTAAATACTAACCTCTTAATGGTGAAGTGGTAATGTGACTCGTCATGTTCTAAACTCATGACACCAGGTTCCGATAAAATAATAAACTACGGAAACATAATGGAGCCTTTTGTGAATTCCGCTGCTGAATGGAGACCCCTCTGCTCTTCATAGCGGTCACCGGGATTGTGTGGCCATACTTCACCATGCTGGTCAGTGTGGGTTGAGGAAGTTGGGGGGAGGGGGTGTCCAGGGCCGGATTCTTAAATCGCTCGCCACTGGTGGTAGCCGTCGCATTTAAATACTGCGATTAACTCTTTTCCTTGGACATTTGAATCCCCTGACCTAGCTTTGTGCTGTGAAGAAGGGCCATTGCCGGAAACGTCACGTTATGTTGATAGTTTCTTTGCGAGGAAGTGCTATTGACCAATTTGTCGAGTGTTTTAAGTTGAGGGAAATATTGATATATCTAACGGGCCGCAAGCCCCGATTGAACGTAACACTTCTCTCAGAACATGAAATATCGAGACGTGTTCATTGGTTTCTTTCTTCGTAGATACCTCTCATTACTGTAGCAATGCCTGTGTCACTTAAATTGGCTTCTATTTCAGTATTATTAAAGAAGCCAGGTCTTGACTCCAGTGTTATGTTAAACTACAGGCCGATTTCACACCTCTCGGTTTCTATAAAAAATATTGTAATGTGTGGAAGCTAAATTGCAGGGCTATCTTTCAAATCACAAGCTCTATTAGCCATTTCAATCTGCGTTTTGGCCACTGCACAGTGCTGAGACAGCACTTGTTCAGGTGGTCACAATGATATTTTCATGACCGCTGATTCGGGCTTACTTCCGAGCCTGGTGCTGTTGGATCTTAGTGCAGCGCTCGATACAGTTGAGCATAATATTCTGCTCAAGCGCCTAGAGACGCAGTTTCGCATCAGTGGTGCAGCTTTTTTCCTGGCGTAGCTCCTATCTGACTGATCGGAAACAGTTTGTTACGTTGGTGAGCCATATGAAACTTGCCCAGTTGTCACTGGTGTCCCCCAGGGGCCGATTTTAGGGCTTTTGTTATTTTCCATGTATATGTTGCCACTTGGGAGCATTTTTCGTCATGGTCTGAGTTATACATTTTATGCTGACAACACCCAAATATATCTGCAGACTATAAGCCTGGCACTGATGATGCAGTCTCAGTCCTGTCTCGATGTCTTTATGAGGTCAGGGTGTGAATGCATCACAATTTGTGAAACTTAAATTGGACAAAGTTGAGGTCATGTTGCTGGGTTCATCTAACTTGCTTCATCAAGTAAATGGTTTCAGTATGATGATTGATGATCTTAAAATAATATTTTCGATCCTGCCTTGGCTTTGAGTGTAAGTGAGTGTAATGCAAGGAATTTGACTTAAGATCTCCTTTCACCTGCGAAATATTTCGCATTCGATCAATTCTCTCAATGCCGGATGCTGTTCGACTGGTACATGCTTTTATTTCATCAACACTTGATTATTGTACTGCCCTGTTCAGTGATGCAACACGGAATGTTTTAAATCGGTTGCAGCTTGTCCAAAACTCTGCTGCCTGGGTTTGGTGTGGAGTGAGGGAATTATGAGCACATCACACCTATTCTTCATTCCCTGCATTGGCTTCCAGTAAAATACGGGATCGAATTAAAAGTTCTTGCATTGGCCTTCAATGCCATGAAAGGGTGTTAGTAGCTCCATTTATATTTCGGAGGTCTGCTGAAACCGCATCCCTCTGTCTGGAAACTTTGATCCGCCAAAATCTGGCACCGGAGTGTACCCAGGACAAATCTGCGTTCAATGGGTGACGGGAGTTTTCTGTAGCCAGGGGCCTTGTTTGTGGAATGTCTTGTCCCAGACCGTTAGGGACGCTCCGTTCACTTGCGGTTTTTAAGGCTAGTCTGAAAACATTTATTTTCTCTTGCATATCCGTCTGTGTAGGGTTGTTTTACTCTTGGTTTTAATCTTAAGGGTTTTTATTGGGATTGCGTTGTGAAGCGCTTCGATGCCTTGTGTGAATGGCGCTTAATAAAACTGCGTTTTGCTTACGAAGTATTTTCCTTCGTATGTCAGAGTTTAGTCAAATACAATTACATTCGATGTCTTGTACAAATAAACACATCCCCTTAATCTATAAAAGAATGAATTAAACATTGCCTTAGTTATTTGGATAGATACCGTGTAAGCTCATTGAACAATACCGCGTGTTAATAATTATTTGTATACACCTGTCCACAGGACACCTTGTGAACGGTCGTTGTCTTTGTTTGACATTTCAAGGCATGCGGTGCAAGTTCAGTGAAATTCTCCGGAGGGCATTTCATGCAACTGCCACTGGGCCTGGCATGATGAAGGGATGCGGTGTCACGTCATTACGGACCTTTCAATGCTGCTCACTGCCTACATTCGACTGGCTCAGCGGGTGCTGCTACGGGAGCAGCTATGTCCAGTTGCAAAACATGCCTCGAGTGATGCGTTTTTTTCCTTTGGCTGCTCGTGGTGTTCTCTCACCCGGCCACTGGGCTGTCATACAGAATTAGAATATGTATTTATACTGGAGGAGTCCGATGAGCTACAAAGCTCTTTTGGCCAATCGTGGTCAACGCAGCTCCTCCATTATTGTTCATCATCGTCATCTCCTTGGAGTATCATCGTCAATATCGTCTTGGTATCGTCTCTCATGGGCACTGTAAGCTGTATCAGCATTATCAGCAGCATCATTATTTTCAATGCATCATCTGATTCATCAGTAGCAGTTTCAGCATACCATCGCCATTAGCAATAGCATCATCATCTTTTAAGTGGTTTGTCCATTGAGTCGAGGGAGCTACTTATCTCTTGTTTACAACAGTCGCCCAAAGGTACAAATTCCACATTACTCTGGAAAGGCCGATTGGATAATTCAGGCATGCATTATTGGCTTCCCACAGAGTGGAACGGGACTCATTTTGTTTATCCAGGGGGGATTAACGACCGAGTCGTACATTACGAGTGAGTGTATGTGTATGCCACCAGTGGCGGAGCGAGGATTTTCAGGTGGGGGGGGCAACCCCTCCAGCAATGAGAAATGATAGAGAAGTTGTTAGTAAGTAAGGAGTTGTTAGTAAGTAAGGACTTGTCCCTTGCTTTTTATTCGACGCGTGTGCGGCGATGGTGTAGCTATCGATCGAGGGTCCAATTCGAACCGCGTTGTGTGATCGGCATCGCGCTCGCTGAAGGTGCTGATGCCTTCAGGGAAGTCGTGGACTGTATACGCAACTGCGCACAATTCTGTGAGCCACTTATAACTGCTTTGCCGTTACTTATTGCCAATTATGGACTCGGACTATTGTCCAATCATCTTATAGAGTCCCTGGTACACAATACTATGCTACACAGTGGCAGTGGGGGTCGCAATATGCCGATTTATTGCTAATAAACTCCAATGATCTGATCGAAATTAGGGATCATTGGGTGGGGCACGTGCCACCCCCACCCCCCCCCCACTGGCTCCGCCAGTGTTCATGCTACACTCCTTTCTATCCCACTTGTAAAATACTCCTTATAAAGGAATTGACCAGACCTCCCAATGCTGGACTATTCTGAAGTCTTTAGTGTGAGCCGTGAGGCGTTACTGGGTAAACAAATTCCTTCAAGATTAATGTATTATTTTTCTTTATTTTAGCATAAGACTAAATCACCCAGAATGCACCCGATTTTGTCAGATCTGAGCAGCTAAGTAGAGTTGAGCTGGGATAGGACTTGGACAGGTGACTACTGTGCATAAACAGGTTGCCACAGGGCTTGCTGGGCTATGTGGTGATGAGCAAATGGCAGTGCACAAAAATCAGTTATTGTACTCTACTTCTATGCTTGCACACCTATGCTCCCTGTCCTCGCCAATCTGCACTGACCAGCGTGGTGAAGCATGGGCAAATAGCCTTCACAGCCTGCACAGTAGTGGGGAGGCCCTCATTCAGCAGTGGATGGACAAACAGGCTCTTCGTGTACACACGTGCATTTGCAGTACTTGTTATGCGTGTATGCTGTGCATCTGTGTTGTGCGGAGTGGTGGCGGAGTGGTTAGTGCATAAACCCGTGACCCGAGTCTGATTTCTGACCACGGCTGACATCGGTGGCGAGTGATAATTTGAACTGGTTCTGGGCCTTCCCTAGGACAACTCGGTTGTGTGTGCACACCAGCGTGGGAGTAGACCGTGCTGCCAGCAATAGGCGCTCGCTATAACAGCAGCACTTGCTCCAACAGTCTGCGTGGGCTGCGTGAGGCATCTTTGTCTTTGTTCCCTGGCAGTGGGCGAGTGGGTGCGGCTGCTTCCGTTTCTCAGCATCCTGGCCCTGCTTGGCTACCTCGCCATACGACCCCTGCTGCCGCGGAAGGTGAAGGTGAAGGACAGCGTCATCAATCTCAAAATCCAGAAGGAGACGTCCAAGGTGGTCAACGAGATCAACATCGAGGACTTTGTCGACGCCAAGAAGGCATACTGCCGCTGCTGGCGCTCCAAAACGGTTTGTGCCAAGCGCCGTCGTCCGTAAGCGGAGTCAGATTTACGTCTTATTGAAGCAGCCAATGACGCATCGCCTGTTAATGACATGGAACGAACACGAAAAACTATGCAGAGAAGCATGGCGAGAGTTACATGCTGGGAATTACAATTAGGTTGGAAGAGGAAGACGTAGATCGGAGAACAAACGCAAATTATAGATATCATGTGGACTCGCGATAATTCATTAAGTGGGCTCGGGCAAGGTGCATGGGAACAGACGGGCGAGACTGATGGCAGCCCAGGGGGTGGCCATGTCCAAGAGGACGTTGTTCCAAGGAGACGCGTCGATGAGGTCAGCTCACGCGTCGGAGCGAGTTGGATTGCGGCATCGCATGGCCCTGAGGAATGGCAATGACATGGGGGGGAGGCCTTTATCCACCAGTGGATAGAACATTGCTGTTTATTACGGTGACTTTTTTGTCAGTTGGTGCATTTGATCATTTACTTGCTACAGCTTCCGACAGTGCCACGGCTGAAATTAAACTTTATGGTGATGTGTGACAAAAACCCGTGAGTGGTATAATAAATGGAAAGCTGGTTAAAGTTAGTCATTGATTGAGCTGTCCATTAAAAAAAAAACCTTTGATTACCTACCAATGGGAAATTTCAGCATAGTTGAATTAGGCGGCAGCCTTATCTGCTTAATGTGTGTGCACTCATTGATGGTGTGAATTCCCTTCTGTGTATATGACTGTGCATGCATCTGTGTGCGCTGCGGGGAGCAGTGGTGCAATGGATCATGTAATGTGCTGCTATCCTTGACCTAAGTTAAATTCCTAGCAATGGATAATATATCCTGGGCCTCTGGGAGGTGGCCTGTTGTGCTGCCGGCTATGCTGCCTCCCTTGTGTGCTGTGTTGGCCCAAGTAGGTGCTCATGAACAACATTTGGCTCTATGCTTCGTCATCTTCCCCCAGTTTGATCTCTGTCGCACTATCGGCCTCGTTTCATGAGACGAATAATTATTCGTCAGTTTATTTAATTGATTATTCGGCAGAACGGCCCGCAGAAACGGAGATCCCTTCAAGTGACTTCTGGTCCACACAGTAGAGAGCAGCACTTCCACACATGTTCTGCACGTGCAGAGTAATGGTCGTTGAATGACAGTAAAACCAATGCTTTAATTTCCTGGGATTTACATATATGAAGTGCAGAACCAAATTTAAAATAATGGGTGTGTTCTGCATTCGTTACTGATGGCTGAGAACATCACCTAGCTGCGCTTGAAAAAACGGTTTAATCACAGATAACTGCTTGGATTCCAACCCAGGTTCTCATCGGTGCAGTTTAGCGCTCTGACCTCCGAGCCACCCAGCCACCTTTCCACTCTTGATAAATGTGTATCTTTGTGTCTGTTTCTGTGCGTCTGTGCCCGTGTGCAGTTTCCTGCGTGTGACGGCTCTCACAACCGACACAACGAGGAGACGGGCGACAATGTGGGGCCGCTAATCATCAAGCGCAAGGACGTGTAAAATAGCTCATCTGATTGCAGTTGTTGATGTGGGGACAGGCCATACGGAATTGAAGCATTGTCCGTAATGCCGAGGTCCTGTATAATCCACTTCATTTGAATTAATGTGTAACGCTGTGTGCCAGTGTGCTAGACCCCCAGGCGTTTAAATCCATATTTATATAGAACAAATTATCCTGATTCATGACCTTTGCCTATGTAAAATTAGGATACAGACACTGCTTTCAAACACTTACGTGTTCAGCCCTTTGTGTGTGTTGACCTCACTGTTAATGGTTAAATGCCCTGAAGAATGAGGTGCTGTTGAGTGGTATTGTAAAGCCCACAACCATGGTATTAAAGCACGTGTTTCTTCTGGTGATTGTTTTATGGAATTGTCTGCATTCGTACAAAGATGTGAGATCTGACAGTGTCTGACCAGTGTAAATTATCTGGGTTACATTAGATTGACTCTTGAATGATTCTGGGCAGCAGCAGATTATTCTAGATTTAAAGCTTTCGTGACTGCAAGGATCCATACTCTTTGGTTCTATTCGGTAAAGTCACGTAGGTAAAAAAAATAAAACAACAAAAATCACGACGTTTCGGCCACAACACAAGCGCGGCCTTCATCAGGTGAAGGGATCAGGCTGTCTCGAGGACAGCGCTGTCCACGAGACAGCCTGATCCCTTCACCTGATGAAGGCTGTCTCGAGGACAGCGCTGTCCACGAGACAGCCTGATCCCTTCACCTGATGAAGGCCGCTTGTGTTGTGGCCGAAACGTCGTGATTTTTTTATTTTTTTTATCTACGTGACTTTACCGAATAGAACCAAAGAGTACAGCAGCAGATTAACTACAGCGGTAACCACTATCCAGAGGGACGACCTCAGGCTTTCTTCTGTCATTCCTTGTCCATCAGTCAATATTTGACTGAACGTTGCATTGTTTATATGTGGACTGAGATGATTGGTAATCATGCAATCTGGATGGTGACCTACCATTTTAAGACCTGTGGCCATTCTTAATGTCTAGTTTTTTCTGTTTTTGTTGTGAAAATGCCAAAGTTGCCATCACCAACAAAGAGTGCAACTCTCTACAGTGACGGTGTTTGTCAAATGTGAGTGTGGTCCATAAAACTGTTCATTGCGAGGGAGACGAATTTTTTTATTGGTGTAATGATTCTTCCCTCTTACGATTCAATGAATTGTTGCGATTTAATAAAAAAATCGAATATTGTGAAATGTATCATCCCCTCGTGGTTGGAGATGTTAGACAACCACTACATCAGCTGGAAAACATTGTTTATTACACACACACTTTGTATTGTGAGCTTAAGAGCTGATGGTAATTGAGAAATGTAAGCTCCATTCCACTCCTAACAATTTCGCAGACCAAAATGTCGGGAAGATTGCGTATGGATTGTAATTATAAACTTAATATCTTGTTTCTGATTGCTATAAATGACGTGAATGGTGTAAACTGGAATTACTCTGCTCTTGAATTTAATGATGATCCAGAGCTTAATTTAAACCAAGTTTGTCTGAGACTGTAACTTGAGAAAATGTTCCTCACCCGGCACATCACATCCGACCATACCTCTCTGGTGTTGCGAAGTCGGCCGCGTGTCATCGACTTCATCCTTCCAGCCACCCAGGAAACAATCAGTGGGGAAAAAGAAGCCCAATCAGGGCACGTAGTTATGCTGCCAGTGCGTGGACGAGGAGAACTTGACGCATTGCTGAAACGGTTCATGGCTCGTGCCCGAACCTGCTGTCTGCCCGTGACCACGTTTCCCCGACAGATTTCAGTCTGCGCGGTTGTTCTATTGTGACTTTCGTTTCCTCAACCCATACCCTGTCTAAGGAAGTGGGCAAAGTCTGAATAAAATGTGCTGATTGTCGCAGTTTTGCGCAAGCCTTTGTGCTTCCCGTTTTTAAGAGTTGGTGAAGACATGAAACTCGACGTCCGTGTAGAAATGATCATTGTGACAGATACCCTACTGGATGCATTTTGTGTGATTGACAACAGCACACAAGCAGAGAAATGAGAAACATGCAATACAGGGTGTTCCATTTCGGGTATCCCAGTAAAACAATTATCTTGACTTCTGGTGAGGCACTTGAAACCGGTCCAGAGTTTGCTTGTGTTGATCCAATGCTGCTGAAAAAAATCCACTCCCAGAAGACTGTGTGGTGGATGTGTCATTTTTTAAATATATAAATTGTTACGTCTAAGGACAGATTTTGGAAGGAGACAAACTTATTATTTGGTCAAATAATGTGGATTAATTACATACAACATATCAAAGCCTCGACATGTCTCTACAATCTCATTACACATTAACTATTTAAATGTTCTCACACAGCCGGTGTGATTTCGCTCACGAGATTCAGATGATGCATAAAGCTGGAGCTCATTAACAAAGCATCATTTTCTTTGTCGCGAACGTCCACGGTCTTTGATGTAACCCCCACAGTCGTTGTCACCGTCAGCCATGGTCAATCCACTGCTGTATGAAGGTGTCTCCCGAATCCGCTGCCATGTCACTATATCAGGTGAGCATGGGGGGGGGGCGGTCTATACATTAGATCAGCTTGTACTCATTAACGTGTATACATTTTTCTGTAGACGTACGCGTACCACTGATAAAGATGCGCTCGCAGATGAATGCCGTGCTGTGGCAGGTGCAGCAGATCTGTTGTGGACTGTGTGGGGCAAGTGAGATCATTCATCGGGGTCGTCGCGAACAGTGGAAACTGTAATTCGCGTGGCCGCCCGCCAGATGGCAAGGCGGCCCTATCTCAAACCCACACGATCTCAATCGCTTCCCGCATTTGGCACACCACCACCACCATCACCACAACATCCTGTGACAAAATCTACAACAAGTATCGCCGTTAAGCGCACCACACCAAGGTGAGGGAGGGGATCGGGGTTTGCCGTAGGTGGTGATGTGGTGGTATTGGTGGTGATGTGGGGGGGTGGGCCACTCGGGATGAGATCGTCGACACACAAAGAGGAGAGGCGGGGATGAGGCGCCCCCTGTCTGCCGCTGCTGCTGCCGCTGCCGCCACCTCGGCGAAGCCCTCCCACAATCCCGAGCGTTTGTCTCCAATGGCCACTGCCGCCGTGCGCCCTCTCCATGGATGAAGAAGAGGCGAAGGCGGCGGCTGCTGCATCGCGGCGGCTACGGCGGCAGTAGCGTTTTAGTTGTTGTTTTTCTGGCCGAGCGGACCTGCGGGTGAGACGGCGCTGCGGGTCGGCGCGTGAGCGAGCGCGCCGAGGGCGGAGGAGGAGGACGAGGAGGAGGAGGACGAGGTGGGTGGTGTTGGTGTTATCGCGACGTGAGGCGTAGGAGGACGAGGTGGGTGGTGGTGGTGGTGTTGGTATTGTCGCGAGGTGGGGAGGACGAGGTGGGTGGTGGTGGTGTCGCGACGTGAGGAGGAGAATGACGAGGTGGATGTTGGTGTTGTTGCGACGTGAGGACGATGGGGACGAGGTGGGTGGTGGTGTTGGTGGTGTCGCGACGTGAGGATGAGGACGAGGTGGGTGTTGGTATTGTCGCGACGTGGGGAGGACGAGGTGGTTGGTGGTGTTGGTGGTGTTGGTGGTGTCGCGACGTGAGGAGGAGAAGGACGAGGTGGGTGGTGGTGTTGGTGTTGTCGCGACGTGAGGAGGAGGACTAGGTGGGTGGTGTTGGTGGTGTCGCGACGTGAGGAGGATGAGGACGAGGTGGGTGGTGTTGGTGTCGCGACGTGAGGAGGAGGAGGATGAGGACGAGGTGGGTGGTGGTGTTGGTGGTGGTGTCGCGACGTGAGGAGTAGGCGGGCCCTGGGCCTGGGTATGATGGAGACGAGGGTCCCCCGGTCTGATTAAGGGGTCGGTCTGGTTGCGAGGCGGTCTTGACTGAGGGATCTGGTTACGAGGGGGTCTGGTTACGAGGGGGTCTTGACTGAGGGATCTGGTTACGAGGGGGTCTTGACTGAGGGATCTGGTTTCAAGGGTCTGTGAGGAGTCTGATTATTAGGGTTCTCACTGAGGTGTCTGGTTATTCAGGGCCTGATTTGAAGGGTCTGTGAGGTTCTGACTGAGGGGGTCTTGTTAGTAAGGGTCTCACTGAGGGGGTCTTGTTAGTAGGGGTCTCACTGAGGGGGTCTTGTAAGTAGGGGTCTCACTGAGGGGGTCTTGTTAGTAGGGGTCTGACTGAGGGGATATGGTTATTAGGGGTGTGACTGAGGGGGTCTTGTTAGTAAGAGTCTCACTGAGGGGGTCTTGTTAGTAGGGGTCTCACTGAGGGGGTCTTGTTAGTAGGGGTTTCACTGAGGGGATCTTGTTAGTAGGGGTCTCACTGAGGGGGTCTTGTTAGTAGGGGTCTCACTGAGGGGGTCTTGTTAGTAGGGGTCTCACTGAGGGGGTCTTGTTAGTAGGGGTCTCACTGAGGGGGTCTTGTTAGTAGGGGTCTGACTGAGGGGGTATGGTTATTAGGGGTGTGACTGAGGGAGTCTTGTTAGTAGGGGTGTGACTGAGGGGGTCTTGTTAGTAGGGGTGTGACTGAGGGGGTCTTGTTAGTAGGGGTCTCACTGAGGGGGTCTTGTTAGTAGGGGTCTCACTGAGGGGGTCTTGTTAGTAGGGGTCTCACTGAGCGGGTCTTGTTAGTAGGGGTCTCACTGAAGGGGTATGGTTATTAGGGGTGTGACTGAGGGGGTCTTGTTAGTAGGGGTCTGACTGAGGGGGTATGGTTATTAGGGGTGTGACTGAGGGGGTCTTATTAGTAGGGGTCTCACTGAGGGGGTCTTGTTAGTAGGGGTCTCACTAAGGGGGTCTTGTTTGTAGGGGTCTCACTGAGGGGGTCTTGTTAGTAGGGGTCTCACTGAGGGGGTCTTGTTAGTAGGGGTCTCACTGAGGGGGTCTTGTTAATAGGGGTCTCACTGAGGGGGTATGGTTATTAGGGGTGTTACTGAGGGGGTATTATTAGTAGGGGTCTCACTGAGGATGTCTTGTTAGTAGGGGTCTCACTGAGGGGGTCTTGTTAGTAGGGGTCTCACTGAGGGGGTATGGTTATTACGGGTGTGACTGAGGGTGTCTTGTTAGTAGGGGTCTCACTGAGGGGGTCTTGTTATGGGTTTGACTAAGGGTGTCTTGTTAGTAGGGGTCTTACTGAGGGGGTATGGTTATTACGGGTGTGACTGAGGGGGTCTTGTTAGTAGGGGTCTGACTGAGGGGGTATGGTTATTAGGGGTGTTACTGAGGGGGTCTTATTAGTAGGGGTCTCACTGAGGGTGTCTTGTTAGTAGGGGTCTCACTGAGTGGTCTTGTTATTATGGGTTTGACTAAGGGTGTCTTGTTAGTAGGGGTCTTACTGAGGGGGTATGGTTAT